CATTCCGAAATGGAAAGAAAAAGAATGTAAAAGAAAATGAAAGAAAGAATGGAAGATAGAAATGTTTAATGTCTCCTCATAAATAATGGACTATTCCGTTTTGATCACATGGAAAGTCACATCAAAGACACGATTTGGTATCAGACAGAAAATGAAAAAAAAGAATGTAAAAAGGAGGGAAGATAGAAATGTTTAATGTCTCCTCATAAATAATGGACTATTCCGTTTTGATCACATGGAAAAGTCACATCAAAGACACGATTTGGTATCAGACAGAAAATGAAAGAAAAAATGTGTAAGATAAAATGTTTAATGTCTCCTCAAAATAATGGAATTCCGTTTTGAATGGAAAGTCACATAAAGAATGATTTATTCCAGAAATGAAAGAAAGAATGTAAAAAAGAAAGATAGAAATGTTTAATGTCAAAATAATGGACTATTCCGTTTTGATCACATGGAAAGTCATCAAAGACAAATTGGTATCAGACAGAAAGAAAGAAAGAATGTAAAAAGGGAGGGAAGATAGAAATGTTTAATGTCTCCTCATAAATAATGGACTATTCCGTTTTGATCACATGGAAAGTCACATCAAAAACGATTTGGTATCACATCAAAGAAAAATGAAAAAGAAGGGAAGATTTTTAATGTCTCCTCAAAATAATCAGACACATGAAAATGAAAGAAAGACAGAAATGTAAAAATGTAAAAGGAGGAAGATAGAAAATGTTTAATGTCTCCTCATAAATAATGGACTATTCTGTTTTGATCACATGAATATTCCGAAAGAAAGAAAGAATTTTTTAATCAAGGAAATTCTGTTTGATCACATCAAAGAAAACGATTTGGTATCAGACAGAAAATGAAAGAAAGAATGTAAAAAAGAAGGAAGATAAAAGAAATGTTTAATGTCTCCTCATAAATAATGGACTATTCTGTTTTGATCACATGGAAAGTCACATCAAAGAAATGATTTGGTATCAGACAGAAAAAAAAAGAAAGAATGTAAAAAAAGGAGGGGAAGATAGAAATGTTTAATGTCTCCTCATAAATAATGGACTATTCCGTTTTGATCACATGGAAAAAGCATCAAAGACACGATTTGGTATCAGACAGAAAATGAAAGAAAGAATGTAAAAAAAAAAGGAGGAAGATAGAAATGTTTAATGTCTCCTCATAAATAATGGACTATTCCGTTTTGATCACATGGAAAGTCACATCAAAGACACGATTTGGTATCAGACAGAAAATGAAAAAAAAAAGAAAGATGTAAAAAAAAGAAGGGAAGATAGAAATGTTTAATGTCTCCTCATAAATAATGGACTATTCCGTTTTGATCACATGGAAAAGTCACATCAAAGACACGATTTGGTATCAGACAGAAAATGAAAGAAAGAATGTAAAAAAGGAGGGAAGATAGAAATGTTTAATGTCTCCTCATAAATAATGGACTATTCCGTTTTGATCACATGGAAAGTCATATCAAAGACACGATTTGGTATCAGAGACAAAGAAAATGAAAGAAAAAGAATGTAAGACAAAGAAGGAAGAAAAGAAATGTTTAATGTCTCCTCATAAATAATGGACTATTCCGTTTTGATCACATGGAAAGTCACATCAAAGACACGATTTGGTATCAGACAGAAAATGAAAGAAAGAATGTAAAAAAGGAGGAAAAGATAGAAATGTTTAATGTCTCCTAAAAAATAATGGACTATTCCGTTTTGATCACATGGAAAAAAAACATCAAAGACACGATTTGGTATCAGACAGAAAATGAAAAAAGAATGTAAAAAAAGGAGGGAAGATAGAAATGTTTAATGTCTCCTCATAAATAATGGACTATTCCGTTTTTGATCACATGGAAAAAGTCATATCAAAGACACGATTTGGTATCAGACAGAAAATGAAAGAAAGAAATGTAAAAAAAGAAGGGAAGATAGAAATGTTTAATGTCTCCTCATAAATAATGGACTATTCCGTTTTGATCACATGGAAAGTCATATCAAAGACACGATTTGGTATCAGACAGAAAATGAAAGAAAGAATGTAAAAAAAGGAGGGAAGATAGAAATGTTTAATGTCTCCTCATAAATAATGGACTATTCCGTTTTGATCACATGGAAAGTCACATCAAAGACACGATTTGGTATCAGACAGAAAAATGAAAGAAAGAATGTAAAAAAAAAGGAAGATAAAAATGTTTAATGTCTCTCATAAATAATGGACTATTCCGTTTTGATCAAGTCTCCTCGCATAAAGGAAAAAACATATCAAAGACACGATTTGGTATCAGACAGAAAAATGAAAGAAAGAATGTAAAAAAGGAAGATAGAAATGTTTAATGTCTCCTAAAATAATGGACTATTCCGTTTGATCACATGGAAAGTCATGGAAAGACAATTTGGTATCAGACAGAAAGAAAGAATGTAAAAAGGAAAGATAGAAATGTTTAATGTCTCAAAAATAATGGACTATTCTGTTTTTTGATCACATGGAAAGAATCAAAGACACGATTTGGTATCAGACAGAAAATGAAAGAAAAGAATGTAAAAAAAGGAGGAAGATAGAAATGTTTAATGTCTCCTCATAAATAATGGACTATTCCGTTTTGATCACATGGAAAGTCACATCAAAAGACACGATTTGGTATCAGACAGAAAATGAAAGAAAGAATGTAAAAAGGGAGGGAAAGATAGAAATGTTTAATTCCGTTTGATCTCACATCAAAGACACGATAAATAATGGAAAGGAAGAAAAAAACAAGCAAATAATGGACTATTCTGTTTTGATCACATGGAAAGTCATATCAAAGACACGATTTGGTATCAGACAGAAAAATGAAAGAAAAGAATGTAAAAAGGGAGGGAAGATAAAATGTTTAATGTCTCCTCATAAATAATGGACTATTCCGTTTTGATCACATGGAAAGTCATATCAAAAAACACGATTTGGTATCAGACAGAAAATGAAAGAAAAGAATGTAAAAAGGGGGAGGGGAAGATAAAATGTTTAATGTCTCCTCATAAATAATGGACTATTCCGTTTTGATCACATGGAAAGTCATATCAAAGACACGATTTGGTATCAGACAGAAAAATGAAAAGAAAGAATGTAAAAAAGAAAGAAAGATAGAAATGTTTTAATGTCTCCTCATAAATAATGGACTATTCCGTTTTGATCACATGGAAAGTCACATCAAAGACACGATTTGGTATCAGACAGAAAATGAAAGAAAGAATGTAAAAAGGAGGAAGATAGAAATGTTTAATGTCTCCTCATAAATAATGGACTATTCCGTTTTGATCACATGGAAAAGTCACATCAAAGACACGATTTGGTATCAGACAGAAAATGAAAGAAAGAATGTAAAAAGGAGGGAAGATAGAAATGTTTAATGTCTCCTCATAAATAATGGACTATTCCGTTTTGATCACATGGAAAAGTCATATCAAAGACACGATTTGGTATCAGACAGAAAATGAAAGAAAAAATGTAAAAAAGGGAGGGAAGATAGAAATGTTTAATGTCTCCTCATAAATAATGGACTATTCCGTTTTGATCACATGGAAAGTCATATCAAAAAGAAACGATTTGGTATCAGACATTTGGTATCAGACAGAAATGAAAATGAAAAAGAAAAAAGAAAGAATGTAAAAAAAAGAATGGAAGGGAAGATAGAAATGTTTAATGTCTCCTCATAAATAATGGACTATTCCGTTTTGATCACATGGAAAGTCATATCAAAGACACGATTTGGTATCAGACAGAAAATGAAAGAAAAGAATGTAAAAAGGAGGAAGATAAAATGTTTAATGTCTCCTCATAAATAATGGACTATTCCGTTTTGATCACATGGAAAGTCATATCAAAGACACGATTTGGTATCAGACAGAAAATGAAAGAAAAAAATGTAAAAAAGAAGGGAAGATAGAAATGTTTAATGTCTCCTCATAAATAATGGACTATTCCGTTTTGATCACATGGAAAAGTCATATCAAAGACACGATTTGGTATCAGACAGAAAAATGAAAGAAAGAATGTAAAAAAGGAGGGAAGATAGAAATGTTTAATGTCTCCTCATAAATAAAGGACTATTCGTTTTGATCACATGGAAAGTCACATCAAAGACACGATTTGGTATCAGACAGAAAATGAAAGAAAAAAGAAAGATAGAAATAAAAAATAATGGAGGGAAGATAAAGAAATGTTTAATGTCTCCTCATAAATAATGGACTATTCCGTTTTGATCACATGGAAAGTCACATCAAAGACACGATTTGGTATCAGACAGAAAATGAAAAGAAAAAGAATGTAAAAAAGGGAGGGGAAGATAAAATGTTTAATGTCTCCTCATAAATAATGGACTATTCCGTTTTGATCACATGGAAAGTCACATCAAAGACAATGATTTGGTATCAGACAGAAAATGAAAAGAAAAGAATGTAAAAAGGAGGAAGATAGAAATGTTTAATGTCTCCTCATAAATAATGGACTATTCCGTTTTTGATCACATGGAAAGTCAAATCAAAGACACGATTTGGTATCAGACAGAAAATGAAAGAAAAAGAATGTAAAAAAGGAGGGAAGATAGAAATGTTTAATGTCTCCTCATAAATAATGGACTATTCCGTTTTGATCACATGGAAAGTCATATCAAAGACAAAAAGGTATCAGACGAAAAATGAAAGAAAAGAATGTAAAAAGGGAGGGAAGATAGAAATGTTTAATGTCTCATAAATAATGGAATTCCAATTTTGATCACATGGAAATCAAAGACACGATTTGGTATCAGACAGAAAATGAAAGAAAGAATGGGAGGGGAAGATAGAAATGTTTAATGTCTCCTCATAAATAATGGACTATTCCGTTTTGATCACATGGAAAGTCATATCAAAAGACACGATTTGGTATCAGACAGAAAATGAAAGAAAAGAATGTAAAAAGGGAGGGAAGGGTTTAATGTCTCCTCATAAATAATGGACTATTCTGTTTTTGATCATATGGAAGTCATATCAAAGACACGATTTGGTATCAGACAGAAAATGAAAGAAAGAATGTAAAAAGAAGGAAGATAGAAATGTTTAATGTCTCCTCATAAATAATGGACTATTCCGTTTTGATCACATGGAAAGTCACATCAAAGACACGATTTGGTATCAGACAGAAAAATGAAAGAAAGAATGTAAAAAGGAGGAAGATAGAAATGTTTAATGTCTCCTCATAAATAATGGACTATTCCGTTTTGATCACATGGAAAGTCATATCAAAGACACGATTTGGTATCAGACAGAAAATGAAAGAAAGAATGTAAGAAAGAAGGGAAGATAGAAATGTTTAATGTCTCCATAAATAAATAATCCGTTTGACTATTCCGTTTTTGATCAGACAGAAATGAAAGAAAGAATGTAAGAGAAGGGAAGATAGAAATGTTTAATGTCTCCTCATAAATAATGGACTATTCTGTTTTGATCACATGGAAAAGACATCAAAGACACGATTTGGTATCAGACAGAAAATGAAAGAAAAGAATGTAAAAAGGGAGGGAAGATAGAAATGTTTAATGTCTCCTCATAAATAATGGACTATTCCGTTTTGATCACATGGAAAGTCATTCAAAGACATTTTGGTATCAGACAGAAAAATGAAAGAAAGAATGTAAAAAAGGAGGGAAGATAGAAATGTTTAATGTCTCCTCATAAATAATGGACTATTCCGTTTTGATCACATGGAAAGTCATATCAAAGACACGATTTGGTATCAGACAGAAAATGAAAGAAAGAATGTAAAAAGGGAGGGAAGATAGAAATGTTTAATGTCTCCTCATAAATAATGGACTATTCCGTTTTGATCACATGGAAAGTCATATCAAAGACACGATTTGGTATCAGACAGAAAATGAAAGAAAGAATGTAAAAAGGGAGGGAAGATAGAAATGTTTAATGTCTCCTCATAAATAATGGACTATTCCGTTTTGATCACATGGAAAGTCACATCAAAGACACGATTTGGTATCAGACAGAAAATGAAAGAAAGAAAGTAAAAAGAAGGGAAGATAGAATGTTTAATGTCTCCTCAAAATAATGGACTATTCCGTTTTGATCACATGGAAAAAAGACACGATTTGGTATCAGACAGAAAATGAAAGAAAGAAAGAAAAAGAAGGGAAGATAGAAATGTTTAATGTCTCTCATAAATAATGGACTATTCCGTTTTGATCACATGGAAAGTCACATCAAAGACACGATTTGGTATCAGACAGAAAATGAAAGAAAGAATGTAAGAAAGAAGGGAAGATAGAAATGTTTAATGTCTCCTCATAAATAATGGACTATTCCGTTTTGATCACATGGAAAGTCATATCAAAGACACGATTTGGTATCAGACAGAAAATGAAAGAAAGAATGTAAAAAAGGGAAAGATAGAAATGTTTAATGTCTCCTCATAAATAATGGACTATTCCGTTTTGATCACATGGAAAGTCACATCAAAAAATGAAAGAAAAAGAACGATTTGGTATCAGACAGAAAATGAAAGAAAGAATGTAAAAGGGAGGGAAGATAGAAATGTTTAATGTCTCCTCATAAATAATGGACTATTCCGTTTTGATCACATGGAAAGTCATATCAAAGACACGATTTGGTATCAGACAGAAAATGAAAAGAAAGAATGTAAAAAGGAGGAAGATAGAAATGTTTAATGTCTCCTCATAAATAATGGACTATTCCGTTTGATCACATGGAAAGTCACATCAAAGACACGATTTGGTATCAGACAGAAAATGAAAGAAAGAATGTAAAAAGGGAGGGAAGATAGAAATGTTTAATGTCTCCTCATAAATAATGGACTATTCCGTTTTGAACATGGAAAGTCACATCAAAGACACGATTTGGTATCAGACAGAAAATGAAAGAAAGAATGTAAAAAGGAGGGAAGATAGAAATGTTTAATGTCTCCTCATAAATAATGGACTATTCCGTTTTGATCACATGGAAAGTCACATCAAAGACACGATTTGGTATCAGACAGAAAAATGAAAAAAGAATGTTTGGTAAAAAAGGGGGGAAGATAGAAATGTTTAATGTCTCCTCATAAATAATGGACTATTCCGTTTTGATCACATGGAAAGTCACATCAAAGACACGATTTGGTATCAGACAGAAAATGAAAGAAAGAATGTAAGAAAGAAGGGAAGATAGAAATGTTTAATGTCTCCTCATAAATAATGGACTATTCCGTTTTGATCACATGGAAAGTCACATCAAAGACACGATTTGGTATCAGACAGAAAATGAAAGAAAGAATGTAAAAAGGGAGGGAAGATAGAAATGTTTAATGTCTCCTCATAAATAATGGACTATTCCGTTTTGATCACATGGAAAGTCACATCAAAGACACGATTTGGTATCAGACAGAAAATGAAAGAAAGAATGTAAGAAAGAAGGGAAGATAGAAATGTTTAATGTCTCCTCATAAATAATGGACTATTCCGTTTTGATCACATGGAAAGTCACATCAAAGACATTTGTATCAAAAAATGAAAGAAAAATGAATTTAGAAATGTATCATAAATAATGGACTATTCTGTTTTATTCACATGAAATGAAAGAAAGAATGTTGGTATCAGACAGAAAATGAAAGAAAGAATGCAAGAAAGAAGGAAGATAGAAATGTTTAATGTCTCCTCATAAATAATGGACTATTCCGTTTTGATCACATGGAAAGTCACATCAAAGACACGATTTGGTATCAGACAGAAAATGAAAGAAAGAATGTAAAAAGGAGGGAAGATAGAAATGTTTAATGTCTCCTCATAAATAATGGACTATTCCGTTTTGATCACATGGAAAGTCATATCAAAGACACGATTTGGTATCAGACAGAAAATGAAAGAAAAAGAATGTAAAAAGGGAGGGAAGATAGAAATGTTTAATGTCTCCTCATAAATAATGGACTATTCCGTTTTGATCACATGGAAAGTCACATCAAAGACACGATTTGGTATCAGACAGAAAAAATGAAAGAAAGAATGTAAAAAGAAAAGATAGAAATGTTTAATGTAAAAGGACTATTCTAGTTTTGTCTCCTCATAAATAATGGACTATTCCGGGAAAGTCACATCAAAGACACGATTTGGTATCAGACAGAAAATGAAAGAAAGAATGTAAAAAGGAGGGAAGATAGAAATGTTTAATGTCTCCTCATAAATAATGGACTATTCCGTTTTGATCACATGGAAAGTCACATCAAAGACACGATTTGGTATCAGACAGAAAATGAAAGAAAGAATGTAAAAAGGGAGGAAGAAGATAGAAATGTTTAATGTCTCCTCATAAATAATGGACTATTCCGTTTTGATCACATGGAAAGTCACATCAAAGACACGATTTGGTATCAGACAGAAAATGAAAAGAAAGAATGTAAAAAAGGGAAGATAGAAATGTTTAATGTCTCCTCATAAATAATGGACTATTCCGTTTTGAAATGGAAAGTTTAAAAGACACGATTTGTCTCCCTCATAAATAATGGACTATTCCGTTTTGATCACATGGAAAGTCACATCAAAGACACGATTTGGTATCAGACAGAAAATCAAATGGACTATTCCGTTTTGATCACATGGAAAGTCATATTTTGGTATCAGACAGAAAATGAAAGAAAGAATGTAAAAAGGGAGGGAAGATAGAAATGTTTAATGTCTCCTCATAAATAATGGACTATTCCGTTTTGATCACATGGAAAGTCACATCAAAGACACGATTTGGTATCAGACAGAAAATGAAAGAAAGAATGTAAAAAGGGAGGGAAGATAGAAATGTTTAATGTCTCCTCATAAATAATGGACTATTCCGTTTTGATCACATGGAAAGTCACATCAAAGACACGATTTGGATCAGACAGAAAATGAAAGAAAGAATGTAAAAAGGAGGGAAGATAGAAATGTTTAATGTCTCCTCATAAATAATGGACTATTCCGTTTTGATCACATGGAAAGTCACATCAAAGACACGATTTGGTATCAGACAGAAAATGAAAGAAAGAATGTAAAAAGGGAGGAAGATAGAAATGTTTAATGTCTCCTCATAAATAATGGACTATTCCGTTTTGATCACATGGAAAGTCACATCAAAGACACGATTTGGTATCAGACAGAAAATGAAAAGAAAGAATGTAAAAAGGAGGGAAGATAAAAAAATGTTTAATGTCTCCTCATAAATAATGGACTATTCCGTTTTGATCACATGGAAAGTCACATCAAAGACACGATTTGGTATCAGACAGAAAATGAAAGAAAAGAATGTAAAAAAGGAGGGAAGATAGAAATGTTTAATGTCTCCTCATAAATAATGGACTATTCCGTTTTGATCACATGGAAAGTCACATCAAAGACACGATTTGGTATCAGACAGAAAATGAAAAGAAAGAATGTAAAAAGGGAGGGAAGATAGAAATGTTTAATGTCTCCTCATAAATAATGGACTATTCCGTGTTTTGATCACATGGAAAGTCACATCAAAGTTTTTGGTATCAGACAGAAAATGAAAGAAAGAATGTAAAAGGGAGGGAAGATAGAAATGTTTAATGTCTCCTCATAAATAATGGACTATTCCGTTTTGATCACATGGAAAGTCATCAAAAAGACACGATTTGGTATCAGACAGAAAATGAAAGAAAAGAATGTAAAAGGAGGGAAGATAGAAATGTTTAATGTCTCCTCATAAATAATGGACTATTCCGTTTTGATCACATGGAAAGTCACATCAAAGACACGATTTGGTATCAGACAGAAAATGAAAGAAAGAATGTAAAAAGGAGGAAGATAGGTTTAATGATAAATAATGGACTATTCCGTTTAATGTCTCCTCAGACAGAAAATAATGGAGGGAAGATATTCCGTTTTAAATAATGGATCACATGGAAAGTCATATCAAAAAAGACACGATTTGGTATCAGACAGAAAATGAAAGAAAGAATGTAAAAAGGAGGAAGATAGAAATGTTTAATGTCT